CTCCTACTCTGACTCCTACTCCTACTCTGACGACAACGACTACTACTATGACTACTGCCGCGATGGCTTACGACTACACTGCTTAAGTCGATGTGGCTAGTGCCGTACTATTTTGGGTACCCAAAAAGGGACCGTAGTTTAGAGAAACTACCATGTATCCTCGCTTTGAGCCGCTTCCGGAAGTCCCTATACAGGAAGCCCGAAGTCCTGGATTCCCAGCTTGCTGCGTTGCTGTTAAGGAACTTTAGCTACGTTACAACAATGGGGATATTTTGTAAATGACCGGGTTTCCGCATTCTAGCAACCTAATTTCCTTTCGTTAACAGCAACCCAGCTCGGCGGAAGTTTTGAACCCTCGGGTGGAAAGAAATGCCCAACAGCGCACGCCTCGAAGTCAGTTCCACAACTCATGACCCTTGACATTCTGGCAGTTGCGTTCTCGCACAAAGGGGGCTTTAAAGGAGCACTTGAAAGGAACCCTAGTAGGCCCATAACAAACCCCTTAAAGGAACCCAGAAAGGAACACTTCAAGGAAGCCTAGTAGATCTCATAAAGGACCCCTTAAAGGGACCCCTAAAGGAACACTTAAAGGAACCCTAGTAGATCCCATAAAGGACCCCTTAAAGGGATTCAGGAGTTGGATCGTAAGACCTGCGAAATTCTCCTGGAACTACCAGAACCTGCCCGTTTTTGGTAGGTGCCTGTTAGGGTTTAGGGTTTAGGGGATCCTTCTAGAAAGTAGGTTTTGGTAGTGTAAGTGAGCCTCCAAACCCTACAGAGGTCGTCGGACACATCTGCGACTGGTGCAAGGTCCCCCGACCTGTCTCTGGCACGGCCGCGCAAAAGGCGAGGCGGCAGGGTTATGGGGGTTTTGGTCAACAAGTGTACCTTAAGCTAACAAACCACGATCTACCTTAAGCTAACAAACTACGATCTGTAATAGATAACCCTGGTTTCCTTGTTATGGTCACTTAAGTAACAAGAACCCCCAAAATTTCGCAATGAGGCTCCGACTTCAGCGGGGCCTGTGGTTCGAACTGTATGGCTTTTGACTTGGGTTCTGCGTTTCAATGGTGCCTTTACTTACTCTCCCTGGTTCTTAGTAGGGAATGGGGGAATGAATCCCTATGATAGTCCCTTAAGGTCCCCTAGAGTAGTTCCAAAAACCCCATTCCTCCATTCCCTACTGTCAGTAGTTTTGCTGGGGTTATGAAGGAGTACTGCTCCTATGTATTGAGGCTTCCGCCTTGCGTCGGTTGGGAACAGAACCAGTCAGGAATATCAGTTGATGTCGCAGGCAAGCTTGACGTTACCATTAAACCAGATCTCTTTTGGATGCTTGTCCGGCTTTGAGGATGGCTATCACGCTTCCGGATGTAGATCTTGCGTTTCGAAAGAGCAGCACACCCGTGGCCCTAAGCCATGAGCGAGCCCAAACCCCTAAACCCTAAGCCCTAAACCCTAAGCCCCTAGCACTAACCCTAGCTAAACCCCAAACCCCTAAACCGTAGCTAAACCCCAAACTCTCAACCCCTAAACCCTGAACCCTCAACCCCTAAACCCCAAACCAGAAGCCATAATCCTGACCCCCAAATCCAAGGCCCAGTCCGAACTTCCACTGAACCCTCTATCCTAAACTGGTCCTGAGCCCTAAACCCTGAAGCCTAGACCCTAGGCCCTAAGCCCTAAATCCTAGACCCTAAACCCTGAACCCCGAATCCTAGACCCTGAACCCTAAACCATGAACCCTGAATCCTAGACCCTAAACCCTAAACCCTGAACCCCGAATCCTAGAGCCTCAATCCTAAACCCGAAACCTTAAACCCTAAAACCCTAACTTAACTGATCATTCTGGCCCACGGCTTCTCAAGACCAATGCTGGCATGTCATGAAGAAAGCTTACGGTTTAGGGTTAGGGCTTAGGGTTTGGGGCTTAGGGTTTAGGGCTCATGGAGTCTGTTAGTCGACGGCAGTCGTCAAAAGCTTACGTCTTCAAGAGCGTTCCATACTTCGGGTATCTACACACCACCAATCCTAGGAGAAGTGTGCAAAAATTCTGTCCGCTCCACATCGTGCAAGGAAAGTTTGAGAAAATGAGCTGGCCGGGAGCCGATATTCTTTGAGAGGCGTTTTTTGGGGGGCGCTTGTTGCTTCAGCCTTACATAGGGGTCGATGCCTGCAGGCATTTTAAAGGTATTTCAGCGATGAGCCGCCAGCTGTACTCGGTCCTGCGTGGAGCAGTGCGCCTGCCAAATGCATCTAGCTCGGCTCGTCATCACGCCCGACTCACGATCTTCGTCATCTCCATCGTCGTCGTGGCCTTCAACTGTAGATGGGTATTCCGTGACTTCGAGATGTACCTGTCACCTATCGAGCTTCGGCTTATTTCAGGGTTTCCGCCAGTGCGGGAGCGTTTTTCCCCTGCCCTCTCTCTGGCCTGGCGAGCCATCAGGTGCCTGTGATCTTTCTCGGTATTTGCCCCCTCTTCCTCTTGGCCTCCTACTACTTTCGGGACATCCCGAGCAAGGCTTTCCCGCATATCATCGATGACGCCCGGGCCAGCGACATCTTCTTGAGCCTTGGAGTCCAGCTAAACCCTAAACCCTAAACCTTGAACCCCTAAGCCACCAACGTGGCTCGTTCTAGCAGGGCTCTAAGAAGAACAGCCTGACTCAGTAAAATAAGAACCATTGTAGTCATTCCGAAACCAAACCAGGACGAGAATGACAGCATGCAACCCCGGTGGCAGAACCCAATGTCGGAAAGTGGGCGGGCGGTACGGTGGTTCCGACTATGTAAAGAATTTTATGATGCAGGTAACCCTAAACCCTAAACCCTAAACCCCAAACCCTAAACCCTAAAACTGTGTCCAACATGAAGCCGGACATGACCAACGCCGGCCTATTCTTCGTAGTGCCGCTTCTAAAGTATGGTTGTTAGTACAGAGCCTGAGCATTTTTGATTACCATCGTCCATGGTTCCGTAAGCAGTAGTAGTACAATGTCCCGGGAAGCTCTATTCTACCATCAAGGCCCTTACATTATTGTGTTGTTTTGGTCATCCTTGTTTTGATCGGGAATGCGGTTCCCGGGTTTTCATTGACAGGGACCATATCCCAGCGACCCTACACAAGGCAGTTGGTGCTTTACGCACATGTCGCCTTCTACTTGTTCCCTTTAGTGCTCTTTGGTGCTTCGCAAACGATCGCCGAAAGCTTGGTCGTGAATGTGTTGACATATTCAACGGCCTCTTAGTGGCTGAATGAGTACACCTTGCACGTTTTGGGATAAGATTATCCCAGAAACTGAAGCTCTACACTGTTTGGGGCTTATGAACTCAGCAACCTGAGGCCTATCTTCCCTTGCTGGAAGATGATCGCCTCCTCACTTGCATCTTCGCCACCTACGCAGTCTTTGCTGGCGTGGTGGCAGCTTCGTCGGAGACATCCTTCACAGAAGGGATGCTTGGACGTCAACTGCAAAGTCTGTTTTTGAAGCCATGCCATTTTATATTATATTGTAATAGGTTGTATGATAATGTATATTGAGATATATGATGTTGCATTGCTATATCAAGTTTTTTGTGCTGTAACGTCTCATATCATTTTATGCTTTGCTATACTGTATGATGCTATTTGTGAAGTAGCACATTATAGTACATGTGTTGTTTGACGTTGTGTTAGACTCATTCGACTTTATCAGATTATGTTGGATGTTGCTGTTCCCCTTCTCAGGAGGGAGACGTTTATAGGGTTCCAAGACCAGACAAGGATGAAACACATGCTCCTTCAGAACTTTGGCTACGCGTTCCTGAGCCGATTCCTCGTCTTCTCCTTCGACTCACGCTTCTCGCCGACTGCATTCGCAGCTGCATGTTGATGTGCACAAGGCCGGCGGGAGAAAACAACTGGCTTCACAGCTTAGGGTTTGGCCGGTATCCATGTGGGACTTTCCGAAAATAAGGGGTACTACTTACTTTGGGGTCCTTTCGATAAGGATCCTACTATTTAGCGTACTATGTTAGGGTCCCCTATTCTCGGAAACCCCCATGTTCTCAATCCCTACCTGCTAAGCCCTGGATTGAGCCTTGTGAAGCCCAGAGCTGCGAGAAAAAAATCCCTGACCCAAAGAGAGGCTCATCATGTGCCGTAGCATTAAACTCGACACACTAGCTCCGTATAAAGTCACCTCCCCCTTGCACGCGAAGTCCTTAAATCCCACATCCTCAACATAAACTCTCAAGCCTGAACATACTAAGTCTACAAAACTCTACAGAAACTCTACAGATCCCTTGCCTTGTAATCGCCCCTATGGTAACTCCAAGCTACGCCGAAGCTGAATGGCTCAAGGCTCTTCTCACAGCGCCTTGTCATCATAGCTCGGCATCGCGCAGCAGCTTGGAGGACGGCATAAGCCCCAAACCCTAAACCCTAACGCTACACCCTACACTTTCCATGACAACAGTACGAAGCAGAAGTAGCAGCAGCAGGAGTAGGAGTACTGAAACAGAACAAGCATACCACGACAAAAATGAAGCTGTTCCTATACCTTCGCACTTCGCAGTCGTTCTAGTCTTCGTCATATGTGGCTCAGCAGCCCGCAGACGGAAACTCACAGTCTGGAGCCAGAAATCCCAAAATGTAGAAGCCTTAAACCTTAAATTTCAAAAACAAAAAGCAATGTAGAGGCCCTCAAAACCTAAAAAACCCTAAAATCCCTAGAGGCCCCAAGCCATAAACCGTAAGTCTCAGAAGTAAATTCCAAACAGGATCTCCTTGACTTCACTCGCCGCGAAGGGGGGCCCAAAAGCCTGGCAAAGCTAATGGTGATCTACCAGGGCCGGGCGCGGCGGAAGGAGGAACTCGTCGCCCAGCTCTTTTTCTTGAGTCTTGGCCGGACTTTTCAATTATCAACTTTGATTGGGTTTAGGGTTTACCTAGTTGTAACCAAGGTACCTTAAGAAAACCAATTGCACCTTTCTTCGACGATCCGGGGCGTGGGCTTGGGACCGTGGGCATTTTAGGGCTTTACGGTTTGGGGTCTTTTGGGGCTTGACTGGGCTTGCAGGTTTTGGGGCTTTTTAGGGCTTAAAAGTCGAGGGTGCAGGGCTTTAGGGTTTGGGGTTTAGGGCTTTATGCTTGGTGGGTCAGGTTCCAATTACGCTGTCTATGCTTGGAGTCCAAATTCAAGGGCAATCCCCAGTGTCGGAATTTTTTGTTTCAGGGAGGAATGAGCATCTTCCAGAGTCTGCACGGATCTGTATGTAGATTCTAGGTGTGGCTTTTGATTGTACCTTGGTACGTGACATCAGCGCGAGGATGGTGGCACAAAAGGGTCCAGAACTTTGCTTCACTTAGTTCTAGACGCTGCGCATGCTGAACTTGATTGCTAGCAGCTCCATGCAGGTATCACTGCCGCGTCGACAAGCCGCTCGGCCCCTAAACCCTAAACCCCTAAACCCCTAAACCCCATAAGCCCTAAACCCTAAACCCTAAACCCTAAGCCACACCACCTGAAAGCCTCAACGACAAATCTCCCTCGAAGCCCAAACCCCAAATGGCTCAACACCAAGAAAGCCAGATGTGATACTCTGGCCCCTCAAACCCTAAACGATGAACCCCCCAAAAAGACCCCCAAACCCGAAACCCCCAAACCCTAAACCCTAAAGTGTGAACCTTTCAAGCCTAAATCGCGAACCCTAGCCCTCTGGCCCGAGGCGTTC